CTGAAGTGTGTACTGATGTTTTTATATAGCTGGAGTGTCTGACGCTACAGCCTCCAAAAAATGCCCCTTCCCACCGGTCCGTGGAGGGATCAGTCCACTTGCCTCGACATACAGCGCCCGGCCCTACCGGGGAAAGGGGGCTGCTCTGTTTACACAGCTATTAGATTTATTCAAGCGTGCACCAATGTGTCTGAATGATTTCCATGTGGAGCTAAGTGGCCACAAGGCACGCGGGAGCATACCTAAATAAAGGGAGCTTGTATTCACCATGCCTGGCTTTAGTGTCTAGGAAGAGAGAGATCAGGTAAACAGGAATCTTAGAGGCCTGTCAGAGGATGGACAGCAAAGAGAAAGCACTGATACTGGAAATAATTATTTCTGTGGAAAGACTGTGATGCAATCCAGCCAGCACTAGTCATTAAGGAACCAACTCTGCATATAAATGTGAGGTGCCTGAGCAACCGCATGGAAGAGCTTGTAACTTCTCATGTAGAGAGAAGTCGTTAGCCATGTTGGCCTGAAGTTCGGCAGTAGGATGTGAAACCAGGTATTACAGAAGTATCTAACATGGTTGCTGATGGACGTTTTATATGCAGGTCAAGAAAAATAGAAATAAGTACAGATGGTGGGGTGGCCCTGTGCATTCACGAGACTACGCAGAAGCATCTGTTTGATCCAAAGTCACTCTGAGGAAGGCTGGCTAAAGAGGTGATCCTGCAATACGGTTGGACCTGGGCATGACTAGATCTTTGATGCCAGGTGTCGCTGACAGTTGGCAGTATGGAGGACAGACTTTCCAATGCCAACTGGAGAGCAAATGCTAGTAACGATGGTGCAGCCCATCTGGTCCTGAACGTGATAGCTGATGAGTTGTGTGCACTGGGGTTTTTTCCCTGCACAAATACAATCACTCCTCTGTGATTCAGGGCTGTTTTAGACTTGCTTATGGCAAACAGCAAGGATTCAGTGCAGCATCCCTGGACTGAGCGAGCAAGAGGTGACTCAATGTCTGCCAAAAGGAAGGAGGAAGGAAAGCAAGCTTCTAACTAAGGGCAGAGATTAAGAAATGAAAGGAAGCCATTAGTCATGTCAGCTGAACTGAAGAGCTCAAGGAACTGAATGTGGAGGAGGGTCGAAATGTCTTCAGTGTTTTTAAAAAAAAAATCTAGATAATCTAGAAGCGAGATCCCGGGGCAGGGGCTCGACTTTGTCGCACTTCTCTGCACCTGTTTGGGTTGGAAGCCATTCTTTTGGAAAGGTGGCTGTACATGGCTCCCTGCTTAAATCGGTGCCTTGGGGAACGGCATTATGGCTCTACTGGGACCCCCTGCCCATGCCCCTGAGAACTGCCTTTGCCTCCTCGGCACGTCATGCTGGCAGCTCAGTCACCTGTGATCAGCTAGTCTCTACCTCAGCCGCTTCTCGTGGAGGAGGGGATGGGGGGACTTGTAGAGAGGGTCCCCAGCTACCTGGGTGAATGACAGCCTCTGAAAGGCTGTCGGGAGGGAGGAGGAAGACTGACACTAAGAGTGCTTTGTCTTGGAGACCAAAGGAGAATTGCTGAGTGTCAGGATGAAGTGGACCTTGCAAAGGATAATAAAATAAAGACATAAATTTTCTTTTTCCTGGCCATGTAAGTAAAATGAACAGGGACCCCGGGGGGGGGCAAGCAGGGCATCAGCCCCGGGTACCAACTTAGAGGGGGCACCAGAACTGCCTCCCCTACCCTGGGAGTGTTCGCCAAAGCAGGAACAGCCCCAGCCATAGGAACCGGGCAGTCGCTGCCCCTCACCCCTAGTGCATCGGGGGGACAGGGGAGCAGGGGGGCCGCCCTCCTTTCTGAGGAGCCTTGCTACGGCAGCACAGCCCTGTGCCCCGTAGTGCAGAGAGCAGGGACGGGTCAGGCTCTGTCCCTGTCCCCACTCTTGAGGAAACGGGCACATAGGACAGCAGGGCTGGCAGCAAGGGGGGTGGATAAGTCTCCTGGCAAAGGGGTGGTGTCCAGCGGATGGAGAAGAGTGAGTGCGGCGTCCATGTCCAGAAGGGTGGAAGTGGTCCAGGCAGTTACAGACCTGTTCATCTGCCCTCAGTAGCATGTGCAGGTTTTAGAATAGGCTTTGGAGGGCAAAATCATAAAGACGTGGAGGTGAATTTAAAGTGGCTAAAGGGCAACAGGCGCCTGCCAAACGTGCCGTGCCAAATGAGCCAGGTGTAGTTCTTCCATAAAGAAATTGATTTTCTAGACAAAGGAAATGCAGCAGATTTGCTGCCTGGACTTGAGTCATGCTTGATGTGCTGCATGCAGGAAGCTTATTAATTTTACATGGACGAGGAGGAGCTGCAGCAGGCAAGGCCCTGGTTAAAAGGGAGACTGCTTACCCTTCAACTAGGCACACGAGGTGAAAGTTAGTAGTGACACTCCTTAAGGACCAGTCTAGGGGCTCACTTTAATATCGTGAGACTTGGGAAGAAGAAGCTGGAATATGCTAATGAAAACTGCCGACGATGATGCCTCCCAACGTTGAGACAATATGGAGGAGGAGCAGTGTCTTGTGCAGGAAGAAAGGCACGATCTTGAGGCCTGGAGTAAAAGAAATGCGTAGAAACCTAATTGTACAAATGCAACATTGAGCCCTTAGGGACTGGTACGAACGTTTGCTCTGAGCTAGGAGCCCCTGGATGAGATGCAACTGAGAGGAGAGACTAGCTGGTCGCAGGATGACTGACCCGCCGGCGTGACGTGGTCTGGAAGAGGCAAAGGCAGTTCTCCGAGTTGGGCAAGAACTCCTAGTAGAGAAGGGGAAGGCCGTAACGCCATTTCCCAAGGCACTGATTTAAGCAGGAAGCTGCATACACCCGTCTTCCCAAAACAACTAATTCAAACCCAAGCAGGTGCTGAGAAGTGTGACGAGATAGGCTGTCCTTTCCTCTGGCCTGTCTTACGAAGGAAGGGAAGGGGAAAAGCAAGCCAGGATTTCCCTGGCTATTGTAAGTTGTAACCCTCTGGTTTCAATCTGCTGCCTACGAATACAGGGAGGGGTAACCAGCCGGGAGGGAGAAGAATGATTTAAGCTGAAGGACAGTGTTAGCCCAAGAGCAAATTAATATAAATGGGCTGGAAACCAGAAGAAAGTGTCTAACCATTAGAGTGGTGATGTTGGAAACGGAAAGGGCAGCCAAAAGGAGCAGGGGCCTGGAGCAGCCGCTGTAGCAGGAGAGGCCGGGGCTCTTCAGTTTGGAAAGGAGCAGAGATCTATAAAATCATGAAGGGTGCGAACGAGTGAACAGCGACCTGTCGTTCACCAAGTCCCGCAGTGCTAGAACGAGGCGGCATCTGCTGCAATGAGGAGGTGACAGGCTTAAAACTAACACGAGAAAGTACTTTTTTATGCAACGCGTCATTAACTCGTGACATTCATCGCCCCAGGAGCGGTGGAGCCAGAAAGCACGGCCAGGTTCAGCAAGGCCTGGATAAACTTGGGGAGGATCGATCTGTTAATGGCTATTGAACAGGACCCTCGGAGCTGTTTTCTCTGGCATCTCTAAGCCAACGATGACTGATGCCAGGGAGGGTGCTGAACTGGGGGATAGATCACTGTAGATCTAATCTGGGTCTGCTCCCCTATGTGGCAACCATTTCTGCTGCTGTCAGATGGGATACGGGGCTAGATGGACCACTGGTCTGACCCAGTCTGGCACTGCTGATGCTCTTAAGAACAGCAGGGTCAAAAACCCAAACAGGCTTTAAGCTAGATCTGGCTAAGGTTTGCCAGCAGGAGACCAGACCCTGAGCCAGGGGGAGGGTTTGGATGCTCTGCAGAGGAGGGAGGGTTTGGATGCTTTGCACAAGCAGCATCCACACAGCACAAGACTCGGGTTTGCAGAGTCTGGGGCCAAGATGCCAAACTGCTGTAGGCGCATTGTTGAGATCAGTGCGTGAGTGCAAGCCGTCTCCCCCTGCGCACTGGCAGGGAATGGGTGCGGGGAGCAGGGACCCAGCCGGCTTCTCACGTGACTGCAGGGAAGACGGGGGCACGGAGGGAGGCTGCTGGTTCCCATCTCTTATGGTTATGTAATGCAGCGTGTTGCTGCTGTAGTCGTTTCTGAAGGAAAAAGCTCCCTGACAGCATCAAGCACCATTGGAGGGGGGGATGAGGTGCAGCCAGTGGTGACAGCTCCAGACTTGGAGAAACAAGGGTCTAGGAGCACGGTTCTCCCAGCAGCTCTGCTGCAGCCCAGCCTCTAAATCAGCAGGCAGCTCCTGCCAGCACGGAGAAGGCCACGGCAGCAGCAGAAGGCCCAGCTCTCCCCAAGCCTTTCTCTGAGTCACTTGCACACTAATTCTTTGCAGCTTTGCACACTCTTCACCCCTGGCTGCCCTGCTCGCTCACCTCCGCAGGAACAGCACGGCACACGTACGCCCTGGGCCACGCTGAGCTGAACTGCTGCCAGCCCCCGGCCTGCTCCCACCTGCCCAGGAAACAAGGGCAGGCAGGACCAAGCTGCCTGCGGGCTGAGGCCCCAGCAGCTGGCACCACAAGCCCCGTCCTGTGCTTGGGGACCCCTGTAACTGGATTTTTGAGAGGGGCCCAGTGGCCGGTCCTGGTACATGCCTCCTCCTGGATGTGACACTCCTGTAGTGCGGCCCCAAGCGACCAGACGGGAAACGGGTCCCAACCCCACGTGAGCTGCCCTGGCGTCCACCCCAGGCACAGACTGCTGAGGCTGCCTCCGCTCCCCGGAGCCAGGAGCAAGGGACTGGGCCAAGGCCACCGAGCGAGACAGCGATGCAGGCAGGGCGAGGGCTGGGCCTGCCCCCTGCAGACCACCGCCCCGGCTCCTTCCCAAGGCCACGCAGCGTCCACCCCGCCCTGGGGCTCAAGGGGACGGCGTTAACGATGCACGCGCAGCCCTCGCGCTCCCCCGGGGACTACGAGCGGAGGGCCTTGCTGGGGCCAGCCGCTCCGCCTGCCGTTCCCCAGGGCCCGCGCCCGACTCACCCTTCTTGAACTCCTGGAGCAGCGTGTCCAGGCGGGTGTCGCTGAAGACGCAGTGCAGCGGGCGGTGGTAGAAGCGGGTGATGGTGCGCAGCGGCGTGCAGTCGTCGGGGTCCACGAAGGCCAGGTCCTTGACGAAGAGCAGGTCCACGATGTTGTCGCGCCGCTCGCCCTCGTAGACGGGGATGCGCGTGTAGCCGGAGCGCAGGATCTCGGACACGGTGGCGAAGTCCAGCACGGCGTCGGCCCGCAGCATGAAGCAGTCGGCCAGCGGCGTGAGCACGTCCTGCACCACCTTGGTGCGCAGCTCCAGCGCGCCCTGCACCATGGCCA